ACTGAGTTTGAGGATGCTTTTTTGTTAATTAATCGGCTTTTGATCAATTCTGACTATTCTGCTTTCTTAGGAGCTGGAGCACCAGAGAGGAGCCCTTATGAATGAAATCCAAGCTGCCAAAAACTCTTGGTTTAGCAAAACCCTGAACTCTATCAAAACGGCCACAGGCACACAGCCACCACAGCAGCCTCAGCCACCCCTGCCACCCAAAGAGGGCAGTACATAGTTCCAGCCAGACCCGATACAAGAGCACAAAGAACACCACAGCTGAAACCCTGGAGGAGTCTTCCAGTGGTCTCTCCTCTTGGGGAAAGGACAAAAGGCAGGAGTGCAGGCTTGAAGTGAAATTCTTCGGTGTTTCTCATTCATTCTGATGTGACCCTTTTCAAAGGGGGAAAAAAAATAATTCCTGTTTTATGTTGAATTCTTACTTCCCAAACTGCCTTGCTGAAAGCCACGTTCTGATACCTTCATACTTTTACACTTTATTTTATATGACTAGATGTTAAATAAATACTTCAAAACTAGGTCTTTAATACATGACTAATTATTCAAAATTATTTTTATCTTGCATAGAAGGTTTTTTCTTCTTCTGGAGGAAGAGAGAATGGAAAATGTAAAGTACTGAAGCATAATCTCTTCATAGAAAGCACAGTGTAATAAGTACTAGCGTGTGTGCGGGTGTCTAGGATAACTTATGCCCTGGGACCATCAGAGAAGTTTATCGCAGTGACTGCGTCCTGCAGAGAAGCACTTTTTGTAAAGCTTAGGCCATAGCAAAGATAGTCTTGTGCCCTCTTGGCACAATTGTTTATGAGCTTCCCTGGTAATTTCTTAGTTTTGATTGTTTTTTCTTCAGAAATGCAAGTAGTGCAGTTCTTCGTAGCACTGTTGTTTAAAGGCTATTTACAGCTGAACTGGAATTTAACATAAAGTTATCTAGTTCCCTTTTTTATTTCATGTTTGTACTAAGAATTCCAAGAAATAATTCCTTCCACTGGGATAAAGGGAAAACTGTTCAACATTTATTTGATGTTTTTGCTGACAAGCAGAGTGAAGACCTTGCATAGTTTTGACCTTTTGTGAATCCTGTGCAATAAAAGGGTAGGTTTTATGAATAAAATTAATGAAAACCTTTCCTTGGGTCTATATTCAAATTCTGAATTTGACACAGAAATGAGGTATCAAATAAAAAACCCAAAAGGCTTGTGCTGCACTGATGAATAAAACATCATAGAAGCAAGATCTGTTTGCTAGAAGTATTTGGTTAGGAAATGCTACGTTGGTATTACTTATTTTTATAAAACCAAACATTTTCAAGTGGAATACAAAACCTAGACTTTCCCGTGGGGTAGACTTCTCTGATTCCCAAACCTGTCTGGTTGTTTTATATATCTTAAGGTAAGAAAATTCAAAAGCGTTTGTTTTGACTGAACATAAAGTGTTTATAGAAATACTTATTTCATGGAAAATTAAACTATTGCTTGAACTGATGGAATATTTTTTTAATTATCCCTGCCATGTCTAAAGATGGTTTTGCAGGTAAATAGCATTGCTGGACTAAAGGTTGTGTGTTAATTGTTCCATTGACAAAATTGTTCCAGGGACATTAGTTCTGTTTTGATTTTTTTTTTTTTTTTAAATTCTAAGGAATGCCATACCTTGTCAGTTTTGTACAATAAAATTTAATGATACCCATCTTGTGCTTTGTTGTCAAGCATAATTCTGAGTTACTTTAAACAGGGTAGTACAAATTTAATGTTACATGTGCCAAAGGAATGATTCTGAAAGGCAGTTGTGTTTGAAGTAGAGATCAAAATATAATCACTATCCAGACACAACTATTCTGCAATGAAATTCTCTCTTCTAAGAGTAAGGGGTTAAAAATTTTAATATTTTAAAATGTACCTGCAAGAACAGTGATTATCTGGAATTACTAATACAGCGAGAAAAAAGGGGGGGAAAAGCAGAAGGAATTTCTTTGGCAAATATTAACAAAGATCTCTTTCCCTGGTCACTTTCTTGCTAATAATATTTGCATAAATGTTTCCACTGTCTAAACCTAGCATTAGTCATTCACTTACCAGTTCCGCTTCACATTTGAAATGAACTGCATAATAAATTTGAAGTGACATTTAAGAATACCTGGTGAACATCTGATTGCTACATTTGAGAGTACTGTGCCGATGAGTGACACTGATGGTTTGACAAGTGTCCGAATTTCTCATTTCATTTATCTTAAATCATACTTAAAGTGGATTTAAAACCTTGCTTGGAAAAATGCGGTAATAATAATAAAAAATATGGTTAAGACTGTGATTCCCTGAGCAGCTGAGTTAACGTAACAGCTCGCTGCTGCTCAAAGATCTCGCCCCTCCAACTCCCCGTTGTACAGTCGTGTCCCTTGTCCTTGTTATGGCACTTACTGGAGATGATTAAAAACAAACAAAAAAAGATGTGGGTAGATTTTCTCCCCCACGGTTAGTCTTTTGCCAAGTTAATGAGTTAAATGATCTCAAAGGGTCCAATGAGTGCAAGCGGATCATGGGAGTGGGACTTCCCCAGTTCATCAAAAAAGAACTGTTAAATAAGCTCACGATGTTTCATGGAACTAGCTTTGACGCAGCATCATCTTTCTCAGTGTAGCAGCTCTCTGACTTTGGAAGTTGAGTTTCTGTGACAAAAACGTGTTTGCTACCTGCTAGCCATGATGATTTCAAAACTTTGTAGGATGGAAGCTGGCTTATATCAGCAAAAAAAGTTGCAGAAGGCGGTGTCTGCATTATCACTCTTGGCAATGACATAAAGGCAGCAAACAATTTTCACCTTCCATCTGTAGATCCAAGGTAGCATTTGTAGCAGTGGCATTTGGAAGAGTAATATTTACGTGGAAACTGTGTCTTCTCAAAACTACTGAAAGAGTAAGAAAATAGCTCTATGGCATTATCTTGATGAATAAGCATAGTTATATTCAGAAACAAGGAAAGGAGCAAGACTGCAGGATGAAACCAGGCAAGCTAAAATTCTACCTGCTGACTATACATGCTATTGGGAAACTTGGCTTCCTGTGAGAAAAGAAATCCGGGTTTTAATTAGCCCTTTCAGCAGTGTGTGAGAGCGCTACGTGCACACGTATCCCAGACCGACTATCTGTCGGGGATAGCTGGCTCATTTAGCTTTTCAGCAGGAAACATCAAAGTCTCACTGAAACTGTTACCTTCATGTGGCACTGGAACAGCTAACATAGCTCATAAGTCTGGAGTGATTAATATTTTTCTCCTGAGTCAGTATTAAACTATGTGTCCACATCAAACTTCTATTAAAAGTAATCTGAACTTTATAAATATATATGTGGAACTAAATCTTATTTTTTAATTTTATTGAGAATGCACAGTTCTGAAATAAAGCCTTTACTTTGATTAGGGACAAACCTACAAAGAATATTTTTAGTACAACTGTTTTATCTTGTTGGATTCTAATCTGTTCCTGAGATGCCCAATATGGAAAAAAAGTACTTTTTTTTCACTTTAAAAAGAAGTTGTTTTTACTTTGACTGTAACACTTTACAGGATAAATGAAGCAAGGCTGATTTAGTTACCTGGTACATCTGTGAACCAGTCTTGTATTATCTTTGTGAATCAAACTTAATATTCTAAAGTAATAGCACTTATTTCACTTGGTTTAACAAATTCTAAATGTACCCGGAGAGAATTAAAAACAATAAAATAGAAAATGTCATGCGTGGTGTTAATCCAAGAAACTGCAAAATCCCTGAGGTCCATATGCATTAATGTTTATTAAGACCAGTTTCAGGAAAGGTAGTCAGCCATGTAATCACTACTGCCAGCTGACAAACACATCCTTGTCCTGCCCATTAATTAGTATATAATTTGCTACAGCTAAGTTAAATTGCTTACATAGGTAAGCAATTTTTTTTTTTCTTGTTAGACATTTTAAAGGACTTCTCTTGGTTGGCCCTTGAAATTTATTTTAAGATGGATGCTTTCATCTGTGCCATTGTGTTAAAAACAGCTCAAAATAAAAACAGCCATTTACAAGGGGAGAGGGAGATAGAAAGTCAAGAACAGCAAGAATTCAGCCCCTTGACAAAGCATGAAGTATCCCGTTGGCTTCAGAGTCACAATGTCACTCACTGACTGAACGTGGCAATTTAGGAGTAAATAAAAATCTGAATTTACTGGCACTGAAGTATCAAAACTTGCTGCATAAGTCATGCTTTCTCTACAGGATAAAGGTAGGGCTGTTCCCTTCCTTCTATTAAGTAGTTGCAGTGAAATCCATGAAACTACTTGTATGTGTGGGAGAACTATACCTCTTATTTTGATTTACTGTTAGACTCAGGGATAAGTGGCATACTTCTGCATAATCTAATAAGCCTAAATACCTTTGCCATTGAAAACAGAAACACTGTTATCTTACAATGCAGGTTTTCTTCCACCTGCTAGAGAGAAAAACCTTAGTACATGTTACTGTCTGAATGTGAAGATCAGGGCAGAGATTCTCCTCTCCAGACTGAGGGACTGTTCTGGCTGACAAGCACGCCTCTCTTACAGCTGAACCCTGCAGAATGGGATGTTGTGCAAACAGCTGGCTGCACTAGACATGTAATGCTGTGTATACCCAGGGCGGTGTATACCCAGGCATCACATTGTTCCTGCGAACACAAAGGCTTAAACTAAATTATTGCAGTGTATACCCAGGCATCACATTGTTCTTGCGAACACAAAGGCTTAAACTAAATTATTTATTTTTCTGTCTATTATGCTAATATCCTACTGGGAGCTGTCCCATTACCTCCTTCCAAGTAATAATACTAAGGGGAGACACAATGAAGCACTCAAGTTTGGACCTTTCAAGTTTGGTTAGGTATATATCACAGCAGCCTTTAGCCTGGGCTAATCCATAGATGGGTTTTGGGAAATTCAAAGGATTTGCAACTGGATAAATAATACTCAGCATTGATCAAGATCCTATCTTTCCCAAGTCAGAAGTCTACATAATTTATTTCAGGATCGTGACTTAACACATACAGGCTAATCCTCCAGGAATACAGGGCTCTCCATTTCTCCGGGATTCCAACTGCTTTGCTACTGAATGTATTTCATGCTATTTTTACCTGAAAAAGAAAAAAAGATATGGGTAGAGAATTAGGACATTACTTCCTCTTATTTTCTTATTCAGTGGGACTTGCTTTTATTTAACCTGTAAAGGAATATATATGTATCTTTGGAAAACTATATCTTATATATAGAATAATATATAGGAAACTGAATCACAAGGGGATAAATACATCAAAAGGATTTGGTATCATAAATTTCATTTGTGATTTGATACCACCAGAATCCTGGGCTGTACTAATTTCCTTTCAGTTTCTCTTATTTTTGTATTTTATATAATACATGGATGGTACTACCAATGCAAACAAGAGCAGGCTTTCTCAGATTTTTCTCCAGATCCCAACTCCCTCCTTCCAGTAATTCCTGGGCTTGCACTGCTGCTGATACTACCTTCAAAAGCTGTGCCAGGAGCTCTCTCAAGCTTTGGGAACTGTTGCTTTCCCATGGAAGAAGGTTCTCTGGCTTCTCTGAACTGGGTAAAGATGGCACATGAATGCAGAAAAGGGTCTAACCGAGCATGATCCAGATCCCTCGGAGTCTGCCATTCAAGGTGGATTCACTTCAGCACACTGAAAACAGAGAGCAGCTTCAAAGCTCTGACTCCATTACAATGAAGTTTTTCAGGTTTGGAGTTGCGTTTGTTGTCTGGGTGTGTCCCAAGTTCGTAAAATGCATTTTCCTAAAGAATTAGGAAAAAAGACCATCATAGCGGTATCAGACTTTTAACTGAGAACAATTCAGTACTGCCAGTTCTTGTGTAACAAATCCATGTATTATATAAAGTATAATATGGAAATATAAGTGTAATGCTTGTTATTAAAAGTGCAATTCAATGTACATGGTCACAACAAATGTTTACTTTTTTAATTGTTACAGAATTGTTTGGATCGGTACCTTGTTATCATTGTGTGAACGATGCCTTGTAAAATAAATGGAAATACAAACAAAATGGGAATAAGTGCTTATTTTCATAAGCCATTTACTTAAGAAACAGCTTAAATCAGTTTGCAATAATAAACAGCTGCTGTGTCAGGTTTTCTGATACAGGTCACTCCAGATGGTTATTTTCAAGCAGCACTATTGCGCTAGGACACAGTGACTTGGCAGACTAGCTGTCCAAAATGTGTGCATGCCTCATAGCTAATTTCAACCCGTTCATAAGGATAATGTACTCGTTCACAAGGGGTAATCTGTTCCGCAGGAGTCTGACGGACAGGCACTGTGCTAGAGAGCTAACGGGTCACCCTGGCCCTCTGCTCCAAATGCTAGTCTGAGGTTTCCAGCACAGAGAACGTACTGGTAAATATGCTTTTCTTAAAGGTTGTTGATATATAGCAATGGGGCAGCAGGAGCTGTTGTTAAGGACTTCATGTTTCCCTGGAGTACACAAGAGAAATATGCAACTGCGCCATGAGGCAGCATGCCTGAAGGAAGAGACGTAGGGAGCAGAAAGAAACAACAAGAAACAGAAAACTGGCTCGTAACAGAGAAGCACGGCTGAGCAAGAACAGGACAGAGCAGAATTTACAGCAGTCAAAAGTATTCAAATCCTTTATTAAACCATTTTTCCATGTGAGCAATTGCTCTAGGATTTCTTTTGTATTAATTGAGATGAACAGCCATTGTTGCCAGATAACTGGAAAAGCACACGGCACTTCAGGGGAAGATATGAAGGCAAGGAGGTAAAAAAGCTGAAGATTAAATTTACCAGACATAGCATTTTGTACTGATTTACCTCCACATCACTATCCAAAGACTGTTTGTCATCAGTTGCTATCAATGCCCGCAGACAGAAGCGGAAGGAATGGCTACTATGTGCTAGATAAAGAGGCCACAACCTTTCAAAGCCCTCTCAGATGCTTCCCCCCACCCCCGTCTCTAGAGCTGATGAGCACTGAAGAGTGCTCTGCACCGTATTTTGTCTGCCAGACAGACTAGACCAGGATCTTTCAGCTGAGTTTCAGTAGTCCTACTAACTCTAACTTAGCTCCTTTTCCCCCTCCTGATGCAGGAGCTGTTCTGATTCTTCTCCCCTGAGAGAAGGCCTGCCACTTGGCTCCTTGTAAGGATGCGCAGAAAACTTGGCTTTGTCAGGCTCTCTTCTGTTTCCAGCCAGGGGAGGATGCGGCATCCAGATGCTACTGCAGCTTTATGCAAGGGAGAGCTGTGTGGAACGTTTTTTTACATTATAAGAGTGACAACTCTTCCATGTGGAAGCTGCCACTCAAGTGGAAGGGCCACGGGCACCGAAATGCTCCTGATTTAAGGAAACAAAATAAGCACTGGTTTTAAAACAATCTCAAGAAAAAAAGCAAATTACAGGCTCACTTACAAATGCATTTATCTATCAGTGAAAGTCTTTTCTCCTCTAGCCAGAAATTAACTTACAAAGCAATACCAATTTAAATTCTAAAACTGTGAGCACTTCCTAATATAAGACCACAACTGAGAGTAGAGAAACTCAAAGATTAGTAGCTAAGGAAAAACCACCAAAAGTTTTTTCTTGTCTCAGTGGCTCCTCAACAGAAAGATCATAAGGAAACAATTCCTGAATAAGCAACCACCCTTAACCAATTAAACCACCAGGCCACAGAAGTAAACTCCAGTTGACCACATTGTATTTTCCAGATAATATCAACTAGCCCAGCTTCAAATGCTATTGCTGAAGATGGACAGGCTGAAGCTCAGTCCTGTGAAAATTAAACATAACCACAGAGTTAGTTATGCAGATCTTTCCTGACCCTCTCTCAACTGCAGATCTTGAAGCACTCGACCAGAGGGTTATTAATAAACGCTTCAGTAAAATGCCTTAGACCTGCTTTGCGGAATGCAGACTTTAACATAAATCCTTGGCTTCAGGTTTCCTATGAATTTACCTCCATCTAATCTATTCTTCCCTCCATACCTCTACAAAAAAAACCCCTCTTTACAGATTAATTAATTCCTGGATGTCCACTTTAGAAGAGAAAAAAACCCCAAGCCCATAAATCAGCAAATGAGCTAGCATTCCTCAATTTGGTAAAACAGATGTTGTAACTGGCACCGTCTTTTAGAGAAATCCGGTTTTTTTAAACGCTGAAGGGCTGTATCCTGCTCCGGGTTCCGTTGTTTATGAAAGACACCTGGAGGCAAACGCTGACTCTTCCACCTACCTGCTTACAGGAAGATTGCCATTGCCTTTTTTTTTTTTTCCCCTCTGGGAAATTCGAATGCCCGACTGGGACCTGGGGATACAGCAACTTTGCTCAGTACGCTGACTTAGTAATGGTGGTGAGAAACACCTCGCTATTCGTTTTTTCCCTTGGGCAACTGCAGCCGAGGTTGCAGTACTCAGGAAGGCCACGGCAAATCCCTAACCCCTAACGCGGTCGGGGGCGGGAGAAAACCCGCCCCGGCGGCGGAGCCTGTCAGTCGCCGCCCCCCGGC